GAAGCGCTTATTCCACTGAGCCATCTCCCCGGCCCCTCAGAATTGGATCTTTAGAAGGAACTTAAATATAATTTTAAAAAATGTTCTTCCTACTAAATATCCTACACTTAGTTTTATAGACAGGCTGGGGATGTAGCTCAGTGGCATGGTACCTGCCTGGCAATTGGGAGGACCTCAGGTCAATTCCTAGTACTCACCAAAAACATGTTGGGCAGAAGGGGAAGTAATATCGGTAGAGTGGGTAGAGGAGCTCAGTGGCAGTTATTAGCTTTAAAATATTTTTCTGTCTCTCTTGCTGTTTTCTCAGTCTGTTTCTTTTGCTTTCTTTCTTTTTTCTTTCTTTCTTTTTTTTTTTTTTGCAGAATCGGGGATTGAACTCAGGCCCTTGCGCTTGCCAGGCAAGCACTTATTCTACTGAGCTACCTCCCAGGGCCTCTGCTTTCTTTCTTTGACTATTATTTTCCTTCTCCATCCCAGGCTTTCCTCTGGACAAGGCTGTTGCTTACTCCAAGCTTCGAAACCCCTTTCTTATCAATGATCTGGCCATGCAGTATTACATCCAAGACAGGTATAGCTTTCTGTGGCCCCTGTGGGACAGTGACCCTGAGTTCGTGCCCATTTTGGGAGCGCACTGTGGAGGGGGTAGAGCCAAACAAATGCACTTCACTTTTGTACTCTCTTGAGTTCTGTGCCTCAGTGTTTTCCAGTCTCTGCAAATAAAACCCCTAGCTGCTCCCCTCAGTTACCCACCCCCCCACCACTCCCAGCTAACTTATTTGGGGGGGACAGGAGGGAGGTGTACCGGATCCTGCAGGAAGAGGGTATTGACCTGCCTCGATACGCTGTGCTCAACCGTGACCCTGCCCGGCCCGAGGGTAAGTACCTCTTCCTGCCAGTGCTTTCCTGCCTTGCCCTTCATGCCTTTACTCAGTCTCTGTCCCCCAGACATCTCTTATACATATCACCTAAATTGTGGGGTGTGGTTTTCAGATTGTGGCAGGTTGAGAGTCCAGTCTTTTCAGACAGAGTTGGGCCTATTATACAGGTATTATCATATCTATATACCATGTGTAGATACCACTGTATCTGGTACTAAGAGATATTCATAGGAATTTGAGGCTTGTAGAGATTAAAATCACAACGAAGTGGGAATTGAGAGTATTCTACAAGCTTAGGCCCTAAGAGTGACTGCAAACTCACTTTGCAGAGTGCAACTTGATAGAAGGTGAAGACCAGGTCGAAGTCAATGGTGCCGTCTTCCCCAAGCCTTTTGTGGAGAAGCCAGTGAGTGCAGAGGACCACAACGTTTATATCTACTACCCCAGCTCAGCTGGAGGAGGGAGCCAGCGCCTCTTCCGTAAGGTGGGGAGATAGTCAAGCCTCTGGGAGTCAGACGCAAAGCATATGAGTTGGGAAGGGAGCTGGAGGATCTAGGGCCAGGCTAGAATGTTGAGGTAACATGATTTTTCTTCTTTTTCCTCCTGAAGATTGGCAGCCGAAGCAGCGTTTATTCTCCTGAGAGTAGCGTCCGGAAGACAGGGTCATATATCTATGAGGAGTTTATGCCGACAGATGGCACAGATGTCAAGGTTATGTTGGACACGGGGATTTTTTTGTTTGTCTTTTGAGACAGGGTCTTGCTATGTAGGCTGGCCTCAAATTTGTGGTGATCCTCCTGCCTCAGTTTCCTGAGTGTTGGGATTGCAGGGGTGCACCATCATGACCAGCTTTGGACACAGGGATTTCAGAAGTTCCAAATGTCTGGTTGCAGGGCCAGGGAGATGGCTTAGTGGAATAAGCACTTCCCTGGCAAGCGCAAGGGTGTGAGTTCAATCCCTGGTTCCGCCAAAAAAACAAAAAAAAAAAAAACAAAAAACAAAAAACAAAACCCCCAAAAAAGTCTGGTTGCAGGTGGGGATTAGTGGGAAACTGGTAGAAATATATGTGGAAGGAGTCTTAGAACACATAGTATGAATCAATTTGGATTCATATTCAACTGAACATAAGAGGTGGGGAATGTAGACAGTTTCATTTTCACTATTACAGCAATGGCAAGGGTGCATGGGAAATGGTGTGATGTTGGTAAATTATTTTTCAATAAGGAGTAGGTGGATAGTGCCAGAGTCTCAAGGGGAGACCTTCATAATAACACTGTAGTAGGGCTCAGTAATAAAAATCGGTTTACTTATTCTCGATGGTCAGCATTTATTTGTTTTGGGTTTTTTTTTACTCTGAAACTAGTCTGCAGACCTAGTGCTCATACTGTTTTCTCATACACAGGGTGAGCTGTGGGCGTACTCAGTGATGCTATGTACCTGCAGGTGTACACAGTGGGGCCAGATTATGCCCATGCTGAGGCTAGGAAATCTCCAGCTCTGGATGGAAAAGTGGAACGAGACAGTGAGGGGAAAGAGGTTCGATACCCAGTCATGCTGACTGCCATGGAAAAGTTGGTGGCCAGGAAAGTCTGTGTAGCTTTCAAGGTAGTAGAGAGCCCATGGGATCGGGGAATGTGTGACAGAGATGGGTGCGGGGGGTCTGTAAAGAAAGAGTGATTCTCTTTTCTTGCCTGTTTCACCTGCAGCAAACAGTGTGTGGCTTTGACCTTCTTCGGGCCAATGGTCATTCATTTGTATGTGATGTCAATGGCTTCAGCTTTGTCAAGAATTCAATGAAATACTATGATGACTGTGCTAAGATTCTGGGGTAAGAGACATGATGGTCTAGGCTGGAAAGAGTGGACTTAAGGGAGGAGTCAGAGGAAAAAAAATAGAAAGAAATGGAAACAAAATTTTCTAAATGAGGAGGAAAAGGGTTGAGAGGAGGGGAGGGGAATGGGGAAAAAAGGATAAGCAAGATATATTATTATGTACAAATACAAGCTCCCTATGATGAATGTGATCATTATATTAAAATGTACCAATGAAATTACATTTAAAATTTTATTTATTTATGTGTGTGTGTGTGTGTGTGTGTGTGGCCAGCTCAGCCCACCAGGTGGCGGGCTGGCTGGCATGTGGTGCTGGGGGATTGAACCACGGTCCCTGTGCTTTGCTAAGCTTGTTCTAAGTAGGTGCTTTAGACCACTGAGCCATCTCACCAGCCCCTGAAATTACATTTAAGAAAGCTTTTGCTTTATTTTCAATGTTGTAAAAATAACTTAAAAGGAAAAAGGGTTTCTCAGCCCCTTTGTCACTTCAACACTATATTTCTCAGCTGTGGTTACTATTAACAATTTTAGACGTAATAGATTATCTTTTCTGCCTTGGATAAATAAACTATTTTGCTAGATGTGATCATACTGTAATACTGTTCTGTAACTTGGCTCTAAAAAAGTCATCATGTAATGTTTCAACCATTCAGAGGTACGTAAGGAATGAAAGATATGGTAGCACCCATAAATAGAGCAGTGCTCACCAGTTACTGTTTAGTTTAAGGAAAAACTATTAATATAGGCCCTTGTGTACACCTCCCTGATTATATCTCCTCTGCCATGCCCAGAGGGAATCACAGTCTTGTGTTTATACCACATATATGGTAGTATTTGCTTGTATAATTTCAGACTTTGTTTGAATTCATTCTTCTACAGTGTGCTTGTCTTTGTGAGCTTTATTCATATGTGTAGCTCTGGTTCATTCATGTCCAGAGGGCTTCTCTTGTGTCTCCTAGAAACACCATCATGCGAGAGCTTGCTCCGCAGTTCCAGATCCCCTGGTCCATCCCCACAGAAGCTGAAGATATTCCTATCGTCCCTACCACGTCTGGCACCATGTAAGCAAAAGTCAAACAATCTGGAGTAACCTATGTAAGACACTTGAGATTCCTTCATCCATCTGGTAGCTTCTTTGTAACCCTATACAGTATTAACCCAGGAAGGCCTGGGCCTCTTATAGTCCCTTTAATGCTACCTTTATTCCCATTCTCAGATCCCTGTTTACCTCTTATCTGTGTCCAAAAGGCTATGATGATGGGAGTGAAGTGAGGGTAGGGTGGGAGAGAGCCTGAGAGATTCCTAATTTTAGGATGGAACTCCGGTGTGTCATTGCAATTATCCGCCATGGGGATCGCACCCCCAAACAGAAGATGAAAATGGAGGTGACGCATCCAAGGTAGGAAGCATGTCCTGATTTGGTCTTCTTAAGGGAGATTGTGTGAGAAACAGCTCTGAGAAGCTATGGTTGTCTTGGTGTTCCTCTTGACCTTAGGTTTTTCACTCTGTTTGAAAAACATGGTGGATACAAGACTGGGAAATTAAAGCTCAAGCGACCCGAGCAGCTGCAGGTAAGGTGGTGAATCTGACCAGGGGGAGTAGTAAAGGTGGTGGCACACACCTGTAATCCTAGCATTTGGGAGACTGAGGCTGGAC